CTGGAAGCTCATAGGGACGCATCACTGCTCTCCTGAAGCCTGTGTGTCTCAGAGCTGTCACAGACCACCAGAAATCCTGTAGTGGTCCCTGCAAACACCATGATTTTCTCGCTCTGGACTTCTGTTTGTATAGCTAAAGGCAAGCGCTGTGTTGGAGAGGGGAAGGGGAGGATTAAGGATGCAAGTGATGTGCCAAGCAGAGTGCTGCAGGATTCAGGGGTTTCCAGAGACTCAGGGACCCAAGGGATGGTGCAGGGCTTTGTGCTCAGCCCCTGCCTGCCCCAGAGTTTAATGGGAATATGAAGCATCAGGTGGTGGATACAGCCAGCCAGACAAGTGTTAGTTCTTTCTGAGCATCTCCAATGTTGGAGTGATTTGTAGGAAAATCACACTTTCACACTGACTTTCTAAGTTAGACCTGCCTAAAACTGGAATTAATGTCATTTCTGAAGTTTGCTTTTGGAAGTATGGACATCAGATATGCTTCAAGACTCACGAGTTTTGATGAAGTCTTCCACTGTGCTTACTTCTGAATTTTGTGTTTTGTGGTGGAAGTACCTGACCTGAATGAAGCAAAGTCCTCTTGCTGAGCTGGGTAAGCCATGGCAGCACAAAATGCTGTTTTCTACCCCAAATCTTGACATTTAATTCAGAGTTTGGATTGGAAAACAAAGTTGCTTTTATTTCTGATAATTTTTTAAAGTCAGAAACCTTGGTAGAAATCTGCTTGATGAAACCAAGGCATTGCAGTAGTTGTGTGCTCTGTGTGCGGGTATATTGGAACACGACTGTGAGCAACTGTTGTCAGCTCAGCACCGAAGGTAAGTAGTGGATAGTGTAGAGGGTGGAGCTGTCCTCTGCCGTGTGCCACAAGAACAAAGATGTTGACTTGGAAAGGTGTCAGGTTTAAAGGAATTAGAGAATTCCTGAGAAAACGAATCTCTTTTGCATACTTGACTGATGTTCAGCAGGAGCCTGGATATTTATAAGCATTATTATACACTTAAAAGAGGGTGGCCAAATGGAGAAAGCCACAATAAAATGCTGTTTTAGGGCTTGAGGTGGTGTTGGGAGGGGTGATGGGGATGCAGATAGCAGTGTCTGGTACAGCACCAGCTCAGCAGGGAAAGGCTGGATGCTGAACCAGTGCAGTGGTTGCAGCCTTCGTGCATTGTGCTTATGGGCTCTGGCAAATGATCCCAGGAGAGCATCTCATTAAGCACGTGTGTAATTGCTCCTGTTGGAGTGAACTTTGCCTGCTGCCATCTGCTCAGCAGATTCAAATGAACATAAAGGGGTGGGAAGAATAAAGTACAGATGCTAATGTGCTGTGTAAACCAGGAGGGGCAAGTGCTCCTAAATGTTTGGGCTGTTATTGTGAGTTTGAGGAGCTGACTTACTCTTGGGTCTGTGAAGTTCCCTGAGCTTCATTTCATAGAATCCCAGACTGGCTTTGATTGGAAAGGACCTTAAAGCTCATCCAGCTCCAGCCCCTGCCATGGGCAGGGACCCCTTCCACTAGAGCAGCTTGCTCCAAGCCCCTGTGTCCAACCTGGCCTTGAACACTGCCAGGGATGGGGCAGCCACAGCTTCTCTGGGCACCCTGTGCCAGCACCTCAGCACCCTCCCAGGGAAGAGCTTCTGCCTAAGAGCTCATCTCAGTCTCCCCTCTGGCAGGTTAAAGCCATTCCCCTTGGCCTGTCCCTACAGGCCCTTGTCCCAAGCCCCTCTCCAGCTTCCCTGCAGCCCCTTCAGGCACTGGAGCTGCTCTCAGGTCTCCCCTTCAGGAGCCTTCTCTTCTCCAGGCTGCCCCAGCCCAGCTCTCTCAGCCTGGCTCCAGAGCAGAGCTGCTCCAGCCCCTCTGGTTTGGAGGTTGCCACTTAGCTCTGGTTTTGTACTCAAAGTTAAATCACTTTTTAAGTTAATGAAATTAGCTTAAATACAACAGGGAGATGTTTCTGTCTGCAGTGTAATTCCATATAGGAGTCCTTGAACAGGGAGCAGGTACCCTGAGTATCTCCTGCTACCTCCTCACTGACATGCACGGTGCTTTTCGTTAAGATAGCAATGTTCTGTGGAACTTGGTTAAATTATCAATCATTAAAAATAGGTTCAAAACCCAGCCCAGTGCCAGAGAAACCCCTGCTGCACGGTGTCTCTCCCATAGCCGTGTGTGATGTTCCCTGGCATCAGTTTGGTAGTCCCTAAACACAGCTCCGTGTTAAAGGGGGAGGAAGGGGTCAGCTTTGTGCTGAGGACAGAAAGCTGCAGTCTCGGTAGCTGACAGTTTGTTTCCTTCTTGTTCCTTTTGATGTCTGGAGACAAAATGCTGCGGAGAGAAAAACTCAATTCACTTAAGACATTTTGCATCAAAATGACGTGCTTTAATGTAGGTTCTTCTGATGTTTAAATTATCTTTTCATCTCATGGGGTTGGGGAGGGGGAAAGCCAACGTGTTTGTAGTTAGAGTGCCCAAGCAGAACTTTAAACAAAGGTCTGGAAGGAGAGGAAGTCGCAATGTATGGGCGCCTTTTAAGAGTAGATGCTTTCCCTTCCCCCCTCTTCTTGTCTCTCTGAGACTTGTAAACTGAGGAGATTTATTGCTGCCCTTCCAAATGCTGCTTTAGAATGAAGAGTTCAAATTTTTGACATTCCTGAAGTCCTCAGGAGGGAGAGGGATGAGGGAAAGTGTTGATCCTAAATGGAGCAGAGCACACCAAAGGAGTTTCCAGGCTGGTTTGGCCAGTTGTAGCTGTGTGTAGCCTTACTAGGCTACATGCATCAAGAAAACTCTTGGAGTCACGGATGGATGATTAAACTGGATTTGGATGAAATTTAAACCTATTTAATAATTGCAGTTGTTATAGTTAATAATTTAGAGAGCTGATTCCAGCTTGTCCTAGCGCTGTATTCATGAGTCTTGGTAATTTCACAACTCTCACATCAAGGGAGGGACTCAACAGGGTCTTCATTAATCACTGCCCTTCACCAGATGTGGCTGTGCCTACAGATGTGTTGTCATGGGTTTGGCTTAACACTGGTACAGAATCCACTCCATCAGTGACATTCCAGCTCCCCCTGAGGCTGGCAGAGAAAAACCTCATTGACTTCTTATGTTTTATATCTCCTCCACAACCTCGGAAGGATTTCACCATCTGTGTTCTTTCTGCTTGTATTACTTAAGATCGTATTTTGGTATATGTGAGGCTGTAGGATGTATTTCCCAGTAGTGCAGTTGTTTTTCTCTGTCACTTCAGGTTTGGGCTGCGTGCAGGGTGCTGCAAACCCCTGTGTTTGCAAGGAAGGGTCAGTATTTTAATATGGATCTGCCTGGAAAATTATTTCAGCTTTTATACTGGGTATCTTGCTTATGGAGAAGGTGTTTGATATACAGATGGAGCTGTCTTATTTTCATGTGGAACCTGCGAACACTCCCTGCCCTTTGCTTACCCCAAAGAGTGCACCTGAGCAGAAGGATGGGAGGAGTTTAGAAGATCCTTCATAACATAATGGGCTTGCTTTTTTTGTTTTCTGTTTTTCAATGTATAATGACATAAATATCCTCAACATATTAATATTATGTTTCTTGATAATGAATAACCAGCGCTATTCTTGTTCTGGCTGACACTATTGTTGCAAATCTCCATGTGCTATGCAGCCACTGTTGCTGTTAAGACAGCAAAAGAATGGAAAGGAATTGAAAACCCTTGTGTGATTCTATGAATATTTTGGGACACCTGTGTATTTTCTAGTGGGGATGGCCCCACTGTTCTGGAATCCCAGCCTGGTTTGTGTTGGAAGGGACCTTAAAGCTCCTCCAGCTCCAACCCCTGCCACGGGCAGGGACACCTTCCACCGGAGCAACTTGCTCCAAGCCCCTGTGTCCAACCTGGCCTTGAACACTGCCAGGGATGGGGCAGCCACAGCTTCTCTGGGCACCCTGTGCCAGCGCCTCAGCACCCTCCCAGGGAAGAGCTTCTGCCTAAGAGCTCATCTCAGGCTCCCCTCTGGCAGCTTAAAGCCATTCCCCTTGGCCTGTCCCTACAGGCCCTTGTCCCAAGCCCCTCTCCAGCTTTCCTGCAGCCCCTTCAGGCACTGGAGCTGCTCTCAGGTCTCCCCTTCAGGAGCCTTCTCTTCTCCAGGCTGCCCCAGCCCAGCTCTCTCAGCCTGGCTCCAGGGCAGAGCTGCTCCAGTCCTCGCAGCATCTCCATGGCTTCCTCTGTCCCAGAGGGGAAAGCTGCCCTTGGAAATGAGAAATTCTGAAAGCGAAACTTTGGTGTATCAGGCAAACTTTTCAGGAATGCCATCAGTGTAAGCCCAAATCCTTCCAATCTTATCTTTCAGTCTGGAAGCAGAATATTAACAAGTGTTGAGTGGTTTTCCCCTCCATGTAACCACTGTAAATAAGCAGCACTGGCAGTGTGGCTGTCACCTGTGGAGGCACTCCTGTCCCTCTGGGAACAGATGGGAAGCTCTCCCAGGGGAGGACACAGCTCCTACTTCCACTTTCTGATACAGCCTTTTTCTGCCAGTAGTGAGCTCAGTCTGGTTGTGTTCAAAAGCGGCTCTCATTTTTCTCTTTCCCAGGTACCAAATATGTCTACATTTGGCTCACAGCCTCTCGTGTGTTGGCTGGAAACAAGCACTCTTATAGTGATGCTGGGTTTAGCGCTAGAACAGTCTCGGTTTGCACAGCAGTAGATTTCTAATGTGAAACACTTCTCTTAGCACCTTATGTCAGTTTGGTAACTAACAGATGTTTTGAGAAAAAAACCTTTTTATGTCTTCGCCTTCAAATCCCAAAGCAGCCTCTTCATGCAGATCCACACACAGTATAGAGGAATGCGATTCCCCTGGGGTAACCGTGGCATTAGAGACTCCCAGGTGAAATGGTCCTTTTCTGGCACCAATTTTGTCATCGTGGGGCCATTTGGGGTTGTTTTAATGGGACATTTTCTGGCAAAACCCCTCTTACACATCCTTTCTGGTTTGTCTTGCAGAGGATATTCAACTCCTTTGTGTACACAGAGAAGATATCCAATGGAGAAAGTGAAGTTCAACAGGTGAGTCCAAAAGCCCATTCCCATCTCCTGCTGCTCACCAGCAATACAACAGAGTCAGCTTAGAAATGACAGTTCTGTCTGGATTTATTGTGGCCACTTTCCTCGTGTCCAGCACATCAGAGAACAATAAATGGGATAGGATATAAATAGAGATGGCGTATATGGGCTGATTCTGTATCTGAGAGTTCTGCATTGCTATGAAAAGGCTTTCCATCTGCTTTGTGTGGGTCTGTCCCTCAGAAACAAAAGAACAGAGGCAGAGCTGGGGCCCTCATGTAGTATCTTACATTAATTGCCTGGTTTTCATGTTGGAAGTGGCTCTTTTAAAATGGATTTAATTCAAAGCAAACCCACTAATACTGTTTATGAATGTGGAAATGGTATCAATTGCTTTGTGTAAATATGAGACAGGCTCATGCATAACAGTTGTGGTTGAGGGTTCTTTGTAATTTTGTGGGGGCTTTTCTTATGGCAACACATTTGAACATTTAACTCTTCAGTTTAACACTGAGATAATAGATCTCAGTATGAGGGCTGTTTGCATTTAATACATGGCCCATGTCTCAAAGTGCCATGTCTCCATGCCTTTTGAATCCCTGCAGGGACGCTGCCCTGGGCAGCCTGTTCCAATGCCTGAGCACCCTCTGGGGCAGGAATTGTTCCTCAGCTCCATCTGGAGCCCCTCCTGGCTCCATCCTCCTCTCAGGCACTTGTAGGCAGCCATCAGGTCCCCTCTGAGCCTTCTCTTCTCCACACTGAACCCCCCAGCTCCCTCAGCCCTTCCCCATCACCCTTGTGCTCCAGGCCCTGCTCCAGCTCCGCTGCCCTTCTCTGGCCCCGCTCCAGCACCTCAATGTCTCTCTTGCAGTGAGGGGCCCAGAGCTGAACACAGGATCCGAGGTGCAGCCTCCCCAGTGCCCAGTGCAGGGGCACAATCCCTGCCCTGAGGTTCTCTCTAGCTCTGCTTAGTTGGAAGTTATCTGATGCAGGTTTCGAATAAAACTTGAATGTCTTATGGATGTCTGTCCTACACACTCCATTTAGCTGTAGAAATATTTCTGATCTTCAGTCATCACAGTTGAGATCATCACCTGTAATACAGTAGTAAAAAGAATATGGGGAGGGCTAAATAAGCCAGGAGGACATTTCCTCTTCTTTTTTCAGTCTCACTGCCTGTCTTTGTTATGCCACATTTCCCACTTGTGCAGAAGCAGCTCTGCTCTGGAACCAGGCTGAGAGAGCTGGGCTCCAGGGAGACCTGAGAGCAGCTCCAATGCCTAAAGGGGCTCCAGGAAACCTGGAGAGGGGCTTGGGACAAGGGCCTGTAGGGACAGGCCAAGGGGAATGGCTTTAAGCTGCCAGAGGGGAGACTGAGATGAGCTCTTAGGCAGAAGCTCTTCCCTGGGAGGGTGCTGAGGCGCTGGCACAGGGTGCCCAGAGAAGCTGTGGCTGCCCCATCCCTGGCAGTGTTCAAGGCCAGGTTGGACACAGGGGCTTGGAGCAAGCTGCTCCAGTGGAAGGTGTCCCTGCCCGTGGCAGGGGTTGGAGCTGGGTGAGCTTTAAGGTCCCTTCCAACCCAAACCAGTCTGGGATTCTAAGAAGACTTCCCATGCCTTTAATAATTACTCTTATGGTTTCCTGGGTTTGTTTGGCTTCCCCTTTTTACTATTTCTGTATCACCACTATGAATGTCATATAGGGACAGCAGATGTGCCGTTAATGTTGCATTAGAACCCTTTTGTTGCTGTTTATATCTCCTTTCTTCCAAAAACATTCCCAAATTATTTTGTGTTTGGACAACCTCTAAATGGAGAACACATTATGAAGAAGGGCTTATATGGAACTGAGTCTAACAACATCCTGTTTTCTTCACTTAAGTGGTACGTTTTTCCCCTGGAGGTCCACATACTATGGTTGTGATTTGAGTAGTTCATTTATATCATTGTTACTGAGTTACACAATTCTGATGTGTGTTCTGCTACTATTTTGGGTCTGTGTTGGGTTTTGAGGTTTTTTTTTGATGTATCAGTGAAATATTGTAAATAAAAAAAAAAACCTAATATGGGATGCCCAAATTATGGTTCCTGAGAAGAAACTTCCTGCTTGGAAAGGTATCATGCAATTGGTGATCCTGGGTGGTTGATTTATGTGGTGCCCAAGGTTGGATCTGCATGAGTGGAAGTGAAGGAGATGGGTGCTGGAGCCCACCATGCACCCTTGGGTGGCTTCTGCTTCCCTGTAAGCATGCACAGGTGGGTGCTGGCTTGCAAAGGGACCATGAAGGGGTCATTGTCACCCAGTGTCTAAAGGTTTAAATCTGAAACCATCCCAACATCTTAGAAACAGGGTTTGTTGGCTTTGACATTGCACCAGGGTAGCGTTTTCCTCCAGTGTTTCTGGGTGGTCTGCACACCGTGAAAGGGCCATGTGGGCTACATTATACGTATCAGATGGCCTTTGGAAAGGCAAAAGTGTTTCGGGGAAACAAGAAACTGGATTAAAACGTCTTTGAAGTCTTAACTATTGATTCTCCACTTAGGAAAAGACTCTGCTTGTTCCCCAGATGTACCTATTCACCCTGAGTAGGTCTAAATAACTGTCTAAACACTGTAGGTAGTGTGATGAATTCGGAGCTGTCAGAGGAGAAAAACGAGGCCCCGGTGAAGCATAATTGCTGTGGTTAAAAGCTCAACAGTGAAGTGGATAGAAGAATAATTGAGTACTTCTGTTTCATTAATAACCAGCTCTTTTAGCCCTAATGAATCACAAGCAATATAACCAGAGTTTTATGAGTAAGAGTAGTGCCTCCAACAGCATCGTCGTGAGCAAATGCAAACAAATGTAAGCAAATTAAATCCCCTGTCGCTCCTGGCTTTGTCATTCATTAACATTTTCTTAGCAACTGATACCCAAAGGCAATTAATTCCCATTCTGTGTCAGGTGGGATTTTGTTCTGGCAGCCCACTGGGTTGTTGGAGGGGTGCTTTTTATATATCCCAAACTGTGTAAATAGGGACTTTCAGTTTGTTGAGAAAGTGGAAAAACTACAGCTGTTGGCCTTCAGGCCCGTTTAATAGACTTGGCTCCCTTTATGCCACACAAAGAGTGGTTTGCCTTTTGACATTAAACTGCTTACACTTTAAGGTCTCTAGTTATAGAATTGCTGTTGTACGCAGCAGATAAAACCTTTTCTCACACTGAATAGGTTATTAAAGATTGGAAGGTGTTTGCCAAAAAGAACTTGGATTCCTTTCCTGGAAGTGATTTCAATATCAGAGAGCTCACAATATGAAAATGCAGTGGTGTGAACTAGGGATGTAAATAAAGGGGAAGGTGCTTAGTTTTATTAGGGGGAAATCTAGATTAGCTGTTTTCAAGGAAGTCAGTGTGTGTTCAGCATCCTGCCAGACATCTGGTGTCTGCAGCACAGAGAATGTGAAACTGGGCTCCAAGGAGGAGACAGGACGGTGGTAAAGACTCAAGCAGGAGCAGAATGACCAGAATAGTTTTGATATATTGAACTCTGGCAGAGAAGCTGGAGCACAGCAACCACAACATCTCTAAGCTAAGAGAGCTGGGCTGGTTCAGCCTGGAGAAGAGAAGACTCCTTAAGGGGAGACCTGAGAGCAGCTCCAGTGCCTAAAGGGGCTGCAGGAAAGCTGGAGAGGGGCTTGGGACAAGGGCCTGTAGGGCCAGGCCAAGGGGAATGGCTTTAACCTGCCTGAGGGGAGACTGAGATGAGCTCTTAGGCAGAAGCTCTTCCCTGTGAGGGTGCTGAGGCGCTGGCACAGGGTGCCCAGAGAAGCTGTGGCTGCCCCATCCCTGGCAGTGTTCAAGGCCAGGTTGGACACAGGGGCTTGGAGCAAGCTGCTCTAGTGGAAGGTGTCCCTGCCCGTGGCAGGGGTTGGAGCTGGATGAGCTTTAAGGTCCCTTCCAACCCAAACCTTTCTATGATTCTACTAACTGAACTCTTCCATGAGTAAGCCATACTTCTGGAGGAGCCTGGCAGTGTTAAATCCCTGTCTGTTGAGTCCATTATGACATCCATGCCTGTCAGCCTCACTGATGCATAATTTATATCCAGTCTTGAAAGCATTAAAAGTACCTTGGCTTTCAAGCTGCAGCCAGAAAGAAAACCTAACCTTGGAGCTCTGCTTTCTCTCAGTGCTCCCTGGAAAGGGAAGACTTTAGAGGTGTGGAGCTTTGAGGGGAATGAAGCTTTATAAGAAGAAAAAGCTCAAGGGAACTATGCAAACGAGGAAAAGCTCTGGGAAAATTAGAGCAAGTCACTGATGTTGTGATGAAAGGTTGTCAATGGAGATGGTGACAACTGAAGTGCATTACCCATGGGTGCTGCTGTAATAGAAACAGGTGTTGCCGTCCAACCTGTCTGCAGACTGGAACGCTCTGGCTGCAGTCCAGCTGCCGCAGAAATACATTAGGATTGGAGCTCAGGGCTGCATTGTTTGCTCCAAACACTCATTTCTTGTTATTCGGGTCCCGAAAGTTAAGGAGAAAGCTGAAAAAGGACAAGAGGAATGCTGGGCAAGGCTTCCCCCTCTCCCTTGGTTTGAAAATGGGGTCAAGAGCGTCTTGAGAAGTAACCTGAGGATGGCAACATTTGATGTCAATCTCAAGCTATCCGGATGTATTTTAGTCTCCATTAAAATGGGTGAATTTCTGTGGGAGCAGGAGATGTCTGTCACACCTGGTACCTACCCAAGGGTATACCTGAGTGTGGGATGTGGCTGCCTTTTACGTGCCCAATTTGGGACACAACTTTCCATTTTGCCTTAACAATGTTTTAAACAATGACACTGGGATGGTTTCACAGTCAATGCTCTGTCCTTTCATTATTTGTTGTCTCTTTCTTTCTGAACCTTTGAGGTTTTATAACCACTGTGGTGCAGGTCTTATATCCATCAGTATGCAACAGCTGCTCAGCTCTGGGCAGGTGAGAAAAAGCAGGATAGATTCTGGGAACAAATAGGGACCTTTTGGGCAAAGGGTTTAGGTTTTAGTTTAGAAAGATGAGGAGCTGCTTTAAGCCTGCAGCTTTTACTCTGGCAACTGAGTGCATCACTTCGCAAACTGAGCAATGTTTCTGAGCTAATGGTGTGAGTGTGCATGCATGCATGGGCACACGGGCATTGAAGAGGAGCTAGGAAGCATGTAGTGTTTTCTGCCTGTTGTTTTAATCACTGAGAGTTGGAATGCCTGCTCGCTGTCATGGATTTTTGTGCTCCAGTGAAGCCCAACTATGGAAGAAAAATTAAGTTAAGGGTTTTATTTAGGCTTCATCTGGATTCTACTTCTCAATTTGGTGAATTAGAACCAGTTGTTTTTATTAACTTTGAACTGGATGGTGTGTTACCCTTTGGTTCATAACATGGTTTAGTCATTGTAATCAATTTTCAATGGAAAATGGCTTTTGAATCATCTTGCCATCCAGCTTTTCTGAGTTAGCTGTTTTTAAAGTGGTTTTGATTGTTAGAAGTGTTCTGTTGCTATCAGAAGGCAGTATTTTTGGGGTTCTTCAGATTAGGTACTTCTAGCCATGGCAGGGAGTAGGTGTCTGTGTGGCTTTGGGAGGCTTCAAGTGCCTTGCTGCTGGCATGCATTTGACTAACTGCCCCAACTGAAGTGTTGGATCCCATTTACTCAGAGTAATGTAATGACTTTGAGCTGTTCAGAGGTTTTTCAATGGGAGATTCAGTTTTGGTACTGAACATTTGCTTTTCATCGGTTTTGTCAGATCTTCAGGCTCTGCACAGTAGGATAAAATTCAAAGGCTGTGGGGTGCTTTTGTTGGTGAACCTGGAAGGGGAAAACTGTTTAACACCAAAACATCATCATAATCAAATCATGGAATGGTTTGAATTGGAAGGGAGCTTAAAGCTCATCCAGCTCCAACCCCTGCCACAGGCAGGGACCCCTTCCACTAGAGCAGCTTGCTCCCAGCCCCTGTGTCCAACCTGGCCTTGAACACTGCCAGGGGTGGGGCAGCCACAGCTTCCTGTACAGCATTCATTTATCAGGAAAAAGTGTGATTCCAAATGTATGTCCTTTTGCTCTGATGCTCCATGTTAGTTCTGTTACTGCATGTTTGATTGTGTGGTCCTTCTTTCAGCAAATTCCAGTTCCCATTTTTGTGATTTCAGGTAGTGAAACCACAAAAGAAGTGAATAGGCTCAAGTATCTGGTGTACATAGTGCTTAAGCACAGGTATTTCATTTGCCCTCACTGAAAGGGGAACTTGGTAACCATGCAACTTAAATGCTTTGATTTAGGAAATTTGGCTTGAAACCCTCCAGAAGAATCCACTTCTCAAGGACACGTTTGAGCAGTACAATCAGACAAAGAGAAAGTTTACCGGGAAATAGAAAAGGAACAACCCAGCAGCTTATGATCTAACAACTGGGAGTAATTTAATTGTGTTGGATGCCTAACATGGAGGAGACCATTAGTAGTCCTCTGGTGCCTTGGCAATAAATCATTCTGCAAAACTAATTAGGTATAATTCTGCAAGTCATTTGAGCAAGGTCCTATTAAAACCTGTGCTCCTAGGAGACCTGTCGTTAAGCTGCAGCATTTGCTGGGAACAATGGAGGCAAAGGCAGTGCTGTTATCAGCGTGGGCCTTGTTATTCGCATAACGAAGTAAATCATGATGAAATGTCCTGTTAATAATAGTTAGGAAAGACATTTGTCAGTGCAGGGGATCTGGAACAACCGAGTGCGCTTCTCAGTGCACAAATGTAGCGGCACCGTTAAATCATCCCCATAGAGCCTGGGGTGTCCAGGGAGCAGGAGAGATGAGTGCTGTGAATTAATGAGCTGACTTCAGCCCTGGAGAAGGTCTGCAGAAATGCAAAATGCCTATTTCTGTGTATTCAACACCAGGCTATATTGTTCAGAGATCGTTCTGTTTCATTTAGGAGGCATCTGGCCAACGATTAATTATAACAGATATGTTGGTGTGAACAGGGCACTGAATGTGCCAGAGCAAATTTCTTATGTGCCTGATTTGTTTTGTTAATTTCTAACTTTGAATAAAAGACCAGGAGCAAAAGTCTTAGTAAATGGCTCTTGTAAAACCTGATGCTTCCACCCTTGATAACACCGTGTGCCTTCAGACTGCTTCCAATCTGCCTGGTACCGAGAAACATTTAAAGGGCTGAAATGCCCAATTTGCCCTTTCTAGTTAGGCACTCTTAATTGTTTTCAAGGCCTGAGAATTGCTAGGGAGGGATGACAGTCTGTTAGTTTTCACTTTCTGAAAGGAGAGAAATACGATCATCTGCTTTTAATAATGTAACTTGTAAACCTAGTCCTGATTTATAAGTGGCTGCCTTCATCATAGAGTCATAGAATCCCAGCCTGGTTTGTGTTTGAATGGACCTTAAAGCTCATCCAGCTCAAACCCCTGCCACGAGCAGGGACACCTTCCATTAGAGCAGGATGCTCCAAGCCCCTGTGTCCAACCTGGCCTTGAGCACTGCCAGGGATGGGGCAGCCACAGCTTCTCTGGGCAACCTATTCATCAGGCCTCTGGCAACAAAAGGCTTGTGGAAGAATTTCACCTGTGCAAGACAGTTGTCATTATTTCTTTTTGTTACAACGTAATGTCAATTACATGTTTTTCATATTGCTCTTGAAGTCTGTAATTACAACTGCTGTAGCTTATAACTAGCCACAGAAAGCTGCTAGGCTGGGGAAGAAAATCACTTGAAAGATGCTCAGTTAAGAGCTTGTGGTGACCCTAGAAAAGTAGCAGAGGATACACAGAAAAAAGCAAGAGAGGGGAAGGCTTTTTTTGTCCAAATCACAATCAGAACTACATGAAAGGAGACATGAAGTGCTTCTGCACAGATCTACCTGGCTGAGGAGGCTGTTGATGACCAGAGAACATTCATGGTGGTAATTGGGGCTGTCTGGATCCTGAGCTTATTCTCTTGAATACATTCAGCGCACTGCACATGTGCTGTTAGTTGATTGCTCCTGAAGCAGTAAAAAGATTGCTCTCTAGGTGAGGTCTTTTGTAATACTATTATTTGGGCTTCTTATAGAGCTTTTTTAAATTGACTTTTTATTTTAGTCTCCATCACGCCCTTGCCAGGCCTTGCAAGAGCATCATATCAAAACGTTTCAGTTGTAAGCCAGTAGCATAGGGAGAGTCGCATCCAGGTCTCAGTGCTTAATTATAAGAAAGCCTGATGTAATGGAAATTTCACTTTTCATACATGCAAAATTCTGTGTTCAGGTTGCGAGATGGTAAATGTATTTTATCTCTTTGTATAGACTGCTTTCTGTGGTTGATATTATTAACTACTTGACTTCATCAAAATAGAAGCACAATGAGCAAAGCATTTAACTGTTATCTTTAACATATGCAGTTTTTACTTTCCATTTAAGTTGGTTAATAAGGAATGGGGGATGCAGACAAACAGCTTGATTTTAATCAATCTTCTAATTTTTTTCAGTTGGCCAAAAAAATCCGGGAGAAATTTAACCGTTACTTGGATGTTGTGAATCGGAACAAGCAAGTGGTGGAAGCATCATACACTGCTCACCTCACATCACCCTTGACTGCAATCCAGGACTGCTGTACTATTCCCCCATCTATGATGGAGTAAGTATTGAATTCTGGAATTGTTAATATGTGAAGAAAACAGACGATTTCTTTGCAGAATAGCCTGTATTTTCTGACCAATCTTGGTAACTCTGAAAGGGGTAAGACAGTAGTCCAAAGGTGCTTCTTATCTTGTCCTTGTGTTCTTTCCCATTTTTACTATGTACATGTTTAATGACGAGCTCTAAACCAGAACGGGGTTTCTGCTGTGATGGGTTGTAAAATGAAACAAAAAGGATAAAAGTTTGTTCAACCCTTAATTGCATGGAATACAAAATGAGTCTGTCCAAGATACTGTCTTTGCACTGAGACACTGAATAACTGAATAACTCTTCTGAAGCTAGTCATGGGACTCCTTTTCTACCCCCTCCCTTTGAAGTGCATTAACCAAAATCACAAGCTGGTCAGTACATCACATGCTGAAACTATTGCATTGCAGTTTAATCAAGTTGACCTGGTGCTGTTTAATGCCAAAGTTAACCCAAATTGAGTACATTGCTTAGGAACAGAATTTGTCCATTTAAAGTTTGTTTTGCTTTAAATATAGGAGTTTTCAATAGCCTAAATCTAGGCAGTTGGTTGTCTTTAATCATGTTTTATTATGCTGAATATTTGCAGAGGCTTCTTTGGGCTTCCTCATTGTAGGAAAGTGTGATGGAAGGTCTGATTTTTGCAATAATTTCTTCTAAATGCTCAACATTTTAAACATTTACTTCCATATGTGCTAGAAAAGTAACTTTCACTTGATGCAAACCTCGATTACAGAGTGTGTTTTCATGGTTCATATCTGCCTGATTTAAAAGCATTTTGGGGAAAGGAAGGTAAATTGGGTAATAAATATTAAAAGCACTTTCTGCAACGTGGCTGTATGGGACAGCTCTTCTGTTAGTGACACTGTGCTTTCATCGTTCCTGAAGTATAGCATTAACCTTTTTTTCTGTAAGGATTTAAAATATTCACTGCATTCAAATACGTGGTGTGAATCTGTGCCTGGAGAGGAAGGCCACTCGCTTGTTTTGTGTGCAGGTTGACTGACACAGAGGCAAGATATCTCAATAGGATTAAGCCTCAGGTGACTCCAAAGAAATGAGTACCTTGCCGTTGTGTTGTGTGTAGATGTCGTGGTCTTTGTGCAGTTCCTACTCTCAAATGGTCTACATAAAATGCTGACACATCTGGTGATCAACGGCCAGATATTTGGCAGTGTTAGTAGAAAGGTCAAGATTTAGTTGAGAATGAAAACCTTCCTGCCCTCTGATCTCTGCATGCAGGAACAGCAAGCTTCCCGCATGGGCTTCCAAGCAAGGGCTGAAGAGAAGGAGGAATGAGGAGATCTATCACCCCCCTGTCAGTATTGCATAATTCTTCATTAAAAAGTAAAAAGAGAGGTTTGCTCTGGAAACATTCCTGAGTTTCCTTTTGCTTTGTGCTCCAAAATTACTTAGTTTCAAGGTCCTGTAGAAATTCTCTTTCCCCAGGATGGACTTGCATAAGGGTCCTTCACAGGAAGTGGCTTAAAAAACAAACTGGGGTCACAGCTGGCTAAGTAAAGAGGTGGATTTTCTATTTGCAGAGCTCCTCGTTGAGGCATTACAATATAGAATCATAGAATAGTTTGGGTTGGAAAGGACCTTAAGATCATCCAGTTCCAAGCCCCCTGCCATGGGCAGGGACACCTCACACTAAACCATGGCACCCAAGGCTCTGTCCAAGCTGGCCTTGAACACTGCCAGGGATGGAGCATTCACAACCTCCCTGGGCAACCCATTCCAGTGCCTCACCACCCTCACAGGAAAGAATTTCTTCCTTATATCCAATCTAAACTTCCCCTGTTTAAGTTTGAACCCGTTACCCCTTGTCCTGTCACTACAGTCCCTGATGAAGAGAATATAAATAATATTAACATAATAATACAATATATTATTATATATTATATCATACTATATAATCCATTATTAGAATATAATATGGTATTATTATATATGGATATAATATAGTAATATATATTAATATAATATGATAATGTAAATACTGAGAATTTTATTCTTATTATTTAGTTGCTTGGATTGATAATACTAAATCTGCTTAAGTGGTTACCAGACCAGTCTGTCAGTCTGCAGGATACTTTGGGCAGCACTTTGGCAATGCCTGGTTGAGTACCTGTGCTTGAGAACGGTGGCTTATCTGACCACTGGGAATATATCCACTCCTGTCTTCAGGAAATTGTCTGCAAGTCATGCAAAGAATGTAAAACCATATTTTCCTTTAGAAACTTCACTTCCAGGGTTCTAGCACCATGTTTTGTTAATTGCCTGATTTGTCTAAGTGCTTCTGCCATCATTTGTTGTTTCTTCCCCTTCTGCTGTTCTTCCTTTCATTTTCCTTCTCTGTAGCATCTCCCTTCTGGGAGAATCTCCATTTTGGTTAAAAAGCCAGTGTTGATACCCAGCGTGGTGTTGTTGGGTCTTATGTCTGATACAGGCCTGCTAAAGGGGAAAGTAAAGTAAAACAGTTCACACGGGCAGAAAGTGGCTGCTCCTGAAAAGCCAGTTCTGCTGTTAGGGCTACCTCGAAACCCGTCCTTGTCTCCCTGTCTCTCCAGAAGAGGGATTAGTTTTTAATAGAAATCTCAAAATGACATAACCTTCTTCTTAAGCAGAAGCTTTCCATTGACATTAAAGCTTACATGCTCCTCAGGATCCCCCTTGGGCACCTCAAAACCTGATTGAAAGGGAAAGATATGGCCAGCAGTCAGATTTTTGGAGACTGGAATACGCACGTGAGTGTTCGAACATGGATTGAGGAATCATTTTGGAAACACAGCTCTCTCCCACCTGCATATTTTGAAGGCTACTGATTCATTTGAACTCTTCCACCTTTAATTTTGGCCTCACTTGATCTGGCTTTGAGGAGTCCTGCACTGGTGAGAAGTTGAGTTAGATGTGCTACTGTTGGTGACAGCTTATCTTTGGTGCTTAAAAGATGTGTTAGTGCTGGGCAGGAGAGTACTGGTGTTAGAGCAACAACAATTATAATAGTTTGGTTTAGAGCCTGTGTTAGCTGCTGCTATAAAACAGGGCACATTAAAAAGGCATGGATTTGTCTGTGCTATTTGCCATATCCAGGAGATACTTTGCTTTAGGTTGTACCTTAAAAATGCACGTGTCCTTAGGGCTCTGGCTTTTCTTTCAGGAGGCTTGTGAAATATCTGTGTTACAGCTCCTTCATTCTGTGTATTCTCTTTGTGCAGGGAGGTGTTTCGTCATGGGGCCTCTTTACTTGAGTAAACATTTGGTGCAAGAACAGTATCAGATGCATCTTATCTTCAGGGTATATTTTTAACGTAGATACAAAGGCCAGTCCCACAGCATTTAAGGCTGCTTATGGTGATCAGCATCTAAATGCATGGTGATGTTTGAAAATCTGAGGGCATTTCATACTCTGAGGTGATTCTTCCATCAGCCTTTTACATTGTGTTGGGAATGCAGCAAGTTTGGATTGGCTTTGGAAGGAGATGATGAACTATTGTGTAGAGAAAGGTTTATTGAGGGTTGGTTTAGTGGTTTGGTATCTTTAGATTACATTTGTTGTTGCTGTTAAAATTACCCATATGTTGCCTTGTGTTTGCTTGCATTTACCTTGAAAATCTGAGCATTGGCTTTGAAGATACTTTGCCATGTTGCTTGAGATAAACCACACCTGGGCACTATAAATCAATGATACAAAATAGAACTAACAAAGCACAAACTGGGATATAAAGTAAACCTGGCACTTCAATTGCTCGTTTAGTTGAGTAGTGAGACATGACCGGGAAAGCAGTGTTTATTGCATTGCCTTTATGTGGTGAAGAGCCCAAATGAGTGAGATTCCCTGTGACTGGGAAAAAACCTTCCCTGTGAGAGGAGCTGTGGCTGCCCCATCCCTGGCAGTGTTCAAGGCCAGGGGCTTGGAGCAAGCTGCTCTAGTGGAAGGTGTCCCTGCCCGTGGCAGGGCTCGGAGCTGGATGAGCTCTAAGATCCCTTCCAACCCAGACCGTTCTAGGATTCTATGACTGTGGTTCCAGTCTGTAGTGACTAGTTCTGAATTAAAATCAACAGCCTGTGCTTTTGGTTCTTTGTTGTACCCAGCATATACTGACCTAAGCTGGTTGAAGTACTAACAGTCATGTATTTGTTCTCCCCACTGAGGTAGGTTTGTGCAACGGAACTCCCTTGGTTTGGAAAGTAGTGAGAATAACTAAATCGGAGCATGCAAACACAACTTGAGGAGGCAGTGCAGTTGGTGGCTGTTGAGTGGTTTTTGGCAAGGGACTTTTCCATAGGCCTTAATTCAACAAGCGTGTCATCATATGCTTCTGCTCATCTGGTTTGCCAAAGCATTCAAATATGGGCTCGTGCGAATGGAAATTAATCATATGCATAAGTATACATGCAGGTACTGCTAAGTAGAGGTGGACTGCTAAAGTGGAGCAGTGGAGCAGGGCTATGTGGTTTTCTTTAGTTTTTTCTGTTCCTTTCTTCAAATACAGCATTTTGCATTTTCAGTTCTGCTTAGCCAAGGGTTGGGAATGGAAAAACCATGATGGTAATGAAGAGGCAACAGTTGATAAGAGTCATCAGAGAGGACAGCTCTCAGGCAAGCTCGGAAGTGGATGGTACAAGTATCTGGTATCTGCCCTATGATCCAGGCTTTATTTGTGTCCATGGGGTCAGAGCCTGAAGACTTGCTCCTTTCCTCAGGGCTGTGTGCTGCATTGAGGAAGTGCCCACAGCAGTTGAGAAGATGGATTGCTCCAATGTGACAGAGTTAATATGGATAAAGTGCTCTGGGCTCTTAGCAAAATGGATGGATAAACTGATGGGAGATAAGGAAAATGGATGTCAAGTGATTCTAATCCTTAAAGAAATCCCTGCTGGAAAAATAAGGCTTTGTGTTTTCCTCACTAATAATGGCTGATGAAGAAGCCATGAGAAACAGATCTCATGCTGTCTCCAGACATT